TAGAGGACCAGGTGCCTAGGGCTCAGAGCTGTTGTAACATTCAGATGCATCCAAGAGTTAAGGACTCCAGTACCCAAAGTTCTGAGCTCCAACACTAGGAGGCAAAATGACTGAAGAGCTCAAGAAAGGAACTAAGGGCAGAATCTGTAAGAAGCTCAGACAGAGGTGTGAAGTGGGTGAGAATCAGCCCAGAAGATGAACCGAGCAAGTGAAGATGAGAGGCTGTGAAAAGCCAAGGAGGCCATAAGCTAGAAAAGCTGCCAGCCCTGGTCTCTAGAAGAGTTCAAAAGACAGGGCCAACCTAGAGTCCTTCCACGCTCTCCCCAGAGCTGTGTGTCTGGCTGCTGCATGTAGGTCCTCTAAGCCATGGACAGTAAGCCTCTGGCTTGGCAAGCTTGGAGCCCTAAGCCTCTACTTCCCAGAGCCTAGAGCTAAAAAAGCCCCTGCATCTAGAAGCCCAGCCTCAGAACTTCTGGAACTCACAGCCACAGATGCACAGAGCTTCCCCTTGCTCATCTATGATTTCTATAGAATAGAGCCAAAGAACCCCCAGCCAGCCATTTGTGATGATTCCAAGCAAAGCCCTTGAATTTCTGTGGAGCAGGTGCATTCCAAAGCCCCTCCTAGGCCTAAAATTTAATTATCTCTTAATATCTGAGCTCAGCTGGCTCGAGGAAAGGCATTTGGCAAAACGCAAAGAAAAGAAATTACTGTAACAGTTACTGAGTGCTTACCATGTATTCTAAGTGGTTTAAGTGCATTATTCCATTTAATCCTTCACAGCAGCCCTATGAGATCAGTACGGTAGTTATTGCTTCGCTTTTATAAAGAGGAAGTTGAGGAAAGTTAATCAGCCTGCCGCAGGTGAGCTCCATCTCTGGTTCGATTTCAGACTGATCAGAGGAGTTGTGAGGGAACTCTCTTCCATGTCATCCCCTCTGCTTTAATCCAGCCTCTCTGCTGATCAAGCGCGTGGCTTTCAAGCCATCCTGTTTGGCCCCGTGTGGAAGCTGCATGCTCATTGCGCTGTCTCCAGCTGGAATCCTGACAGTGTTGTAGCAAGACACCTTTCAGTGGATTCACAAAGAGTAAATCTCAGTGTCAACGTCAAAGGGAGCCTGTGGAGACCGCAGTAAGTAGTCAGCACTGTGCTCCATGATGGGATGGGATGTAAAAGGGAAGGATGTGTCTATAAAGCTACACGTGTGGCATGTCTGTGAGACTCTGTGCCCAGAGAGGCAGGCGGCATCTGGACAGCATTACCAAATGCAGCAGACCTGGGTTTATTTTTTGGTGGCCTCTAACCCCCAAGATGCTCAAAACCTGGTCTTAGTATTTAGTCAGTAGTGTGATTCCGTAGATATTTTAAAAGTCAACCAAGTCAACTTTTTATGACTTTCCACTGTGGCTGAGAAACTGTAGCAAATGCAAAGAACTGTCTGAAAATAAATATTTCGGAGGCACAGAGTTTATTGGAAATGTACTGCGTGTGTATTAACAGATACATAAAGAGATGAGTGATATCAGGTACTGTGTTTAATGAGTAATATTAATAAAAATTGAAAGTGGAAATGCAACTCTAATTATGGATATAGAGATTTGCACCTTGGCCTGCACAGTATCGCACACCTGTAATTCCTGTACTTGGGGGATGGGAGCAGGCAAATCAGTAGTTCACACTAGTCTAGACTGCACAGTGAACTCAGGCAAGCCTGGACCACAGAAGATCTTGTCTGAAAAATAAACTTACCCCCAGTGGTCTTCTAACTAAAAGAATGTGTGACTCCAAAAATCTTTTGGCTTGCTATTGATGTGATTTGAGCAAATTGACCTCTGAGCCTTGATTATCTTGTTTGTAAAATGGGATGCTGAATCCAAACTCTCAGGATACAGCCATGTAACTCATGCTGGACAGTGAAACATAGGCCCAAGTCAACACCCATCACTTCCAGTGAAAAGCTCTTAAGATGCTCTGTGTGACTCACCACGTTCCCCTTCCTTTTGTGCCCCCATGTGATGGCACAGCCCAGCCTTAGCCAGCTTTCAGTAGCCATGGTGCCCAGCGCCCCTGCTAACTGATACTGCGTGGGGAAACGCAGCGAGAAAGAAACACGTTATATTGAAGTCATAGCTTCAGCTGTTACTACAACATGGTCCTGTCGTGCTCTGCGTAGAATGCATGTCACTGTCACTAAAGTCACTTAAGCACCTGAGGGTGTTGGGGTTCTTGAAGTGTTATCTCACTGCTACCTGCTCTGTTCTGGAGTTGGTTTGGGGCTCCACCTTTCCAGCAGATACTGACCTCAAACCAATCATAACTCACTCACCCTTATCTTTCTCACCAAGCATTTTATCCAGCTTACAGACAAAGAACAGAACTGACTTTTCCACCCACTCCTGTCTTCCAAATTCAGTTTAACTGATGGACTGTTGGTCAAGATATAGTTTCTAGGTAGATCAGGAATAATGCTTGATTATGACCAAAGGCAAGCTTCCATGTAAACACACGTGTACATGAACCTGTAGCTTCAACAACAAAATTATACCTTCATCTTTAAAAGTAAATTCTTGCTTAGGTTTTGAGTTCTTACTCCTTTTGACAAACCTTTCTCACAGAAAATTTGGCTTATTTTAGCCCATGTGACCACAGACCTATGCTTGAGCACCATGCAAGAAACAGAACTCCGAGTAAGAACAATTTTTTTAGAACTTTGGGACAACAGATCCTCTTGGATGCTGCATGAGGCAAAGATGTGTTAACCTGCATTCCAAAGAGAATAGTAGCATTCTGCTCATTAGTCACAGGCTCTGATGATGGTCTGAGTCATTAGAGTGAGGATCTCCTGTATCCTGTTGAATGTCACTCTTGAGGTGTGTAAGTCAGGAAGAATGTTCTAGAAGAATGGTCAGCTTACCATGACCCTGTTGGAATGCTGGTGGGTACCAGTGCTGGAGACTGAGATGAGCATTTTTAGTCTCCCTAGACTGAAAAGAGTAACTCATCTTTATAGAGCAAAGCTTGCCTGCCAAAGCCAAGTACTGGTTGTTTAGTTTTCTGTCACCTTGACACAGGCTAGAGTCATCTGAGAAGAAACCTCAAGTGACAAAATGCCCCCATCAGATTGGCCTGTATGCAAGCCTGTGGGGCATTTTTAGATTAATGGTTCATGTGGCAGGGTCTAGCTAGCTGCTAACTAATTAAGGCTGGTAAAAAAGTGACTCACCGCAGCTTAGCCTTTAACTATGTTCATCTGGCTGAAGATATTCCACCAGGCTCCCCAATGGGAAAGGGAACATTGTATCCATCTGCTCTCCAGACCCTCACTTCACGTATACATGGTTTCTGATCGCATCCTCACAATGTCCCCTGGGTACGGAAGTGGGTGGGATAATCAGCATGTCCCCTGTGCTTCCTTAGACAGTGATGAATACAAGTTTTTACTGACAAATCCCACAGCTCTCTGCCTGTAAACTAGTTTTTAATTTGACTTTTACTAATTAAGTTCGGCAAATCCCCACAGCCCATTATTACCTTGGAATTTTGATATTTTAAAACATCAACTCACCTGGGCATTTTTTTTTCAGTTCTTCTTCACTGAATGTATTTATTTGTGCTCCAAAATGACTAATTATTGTCATCCCTCTGCTGGAGAGACACCACCACTTCAACTTTGTCATTTTGAGGGTCCTTGTACCTTACCCGGCCTCTCTGATAGTATTCTTTCCAAACACAAAACCTAGGGGATGTGGTGGTGTTCACTTTTAATGCCAGCATTTGGGAGGCAGAGGCAGGTAGATATTTGTGAGTTTGAGGCCAGCCTGGCCTATACAGCAAGTTCCAGGTCAGCTAATGCTACATAGTGAGCCCTGTCAGAAAGAAAAAAAGATAGCAAAAAAGGACCACCTGCCCAAACATAATACCTCAGTTTCCGTGCTGTTCCTGGGGAGGCTGGGGAGAACCCTGAAGTTGCTTCAGCTCTGGGCTGGGTGCTGCTCGTCATGTTCTTGTTCACATCTCACGGTGCTGTGGGCAGGGACTGTCTTTATCCCATTTTGCAAGTAATGGAATGGAGAACTAGAGGCTGCTGAGTCTTACTCTGTACACACAGCGGACAGTGAGAGAACCTGTAGTCCAAGCCAGCGTGGCTCTCTAGTCTCCTTCCTTTCAGCTGTGACGTCAGACCCGTCCTTCACCCTCTTTTTAACCTGTGAGATCTGTCTGCCTCCATGTTTGCTCTGCTTTCTTTATGAGGACCCAGCAAACCAAAGAGAGAAGGTAAGGATTGGTCCTGAATTTGCTGAAAGTACATCAGAGTAGCGTAGCGTGGGGTGGCAGGCAGCAAACAGACCACACCTGCCTGTGTGGTGATAGATTGTGTACCCTAATAAACTTGCCTGAGGATCAGAGGACAGAGTCAGCCACAAATTAGACATAGAGGTCAGGCAGTGGTGGCACACACCTTTAATCCCAGCACTAGAGATCTCATGCCTATTTTTGGGGAAGCACACATGCCTTTAATCCTGGGAAATAATATGGCAGGGCAGAGAAAGGTATATAAGGCGTGAGGAGACAGGAACTTACTCTCTTTAGGCTGAGGATTTCGTAGAGGTAAGAACTAGTGGCCGCTGCTCTGCCTCTCTTATCTTTCAGCTTTCACCCCAATATCTGGCTCTAGGTTTTTTATGATAAGACCATCTAAGATTCGAACAGCATACCTACTTTGGTCTCTCTTGTTGGTTAAGATCAAGGAGGCCAGTCCCCTGCTTGTGGGATGTTTCGGGGAGAACTGGTTGCTTTCTGGCTGGTATTTGGCAGAAGGCATCTTTCAGGGTAAGTGGGCTTCCATTTGGGCACTAACACCTCAAAGGCAAAGTCCTGTTAGGCAAGGATCTTGCTGTGTTTGCCTCAGCACCTAGAATGAGAGAGAAGATGGTTCTGGAAAGTGGTGCTGGTAGGAAGAGTGTCTAACAGCAGGTTACTCACAGGTGTTCAGTCTTGGCCATACCAGGAGAGTCTGCCTAGGCTTCAGTTCAGTACTGAGATTCTAACTTATTAGTCTACTTTTTACACTGTTTTTCTGGGCATAGGTTAGAAAGAATTGAGCCCTTCACTTGGGCCAGGTCCCTGAATAGGGTATAGCTTGGCTGGCTACCGTAGGCCACCAAAGGCTGCTACCTTCGAGACTTGCCATTTGTAGAAGGGCTGATAGAGAGCTAGGGATAAGCTTATTTTGTGGAGAGCTTATTGGCATGGAAACCCCAGGTTTGTCCCCAGCATTACACAAGCTAGGTATGGTGTGTTATTCTTGCAATCCCAGACTCAGGTGGAGGCAGGAGAATTAAATGTTCAAGGTCACCCTTAGCTGTATGGTGGATTTGAGGCCAGCCTGGGCTCCATGAGACCTTATAGAAAAAGAAAAGGGAAAGCTGATGGAACGTCTAGTCAGCTGACTGCACTTTGCTGTCACTGCTAAGGTTAGCCAGGGGCTGTGTCCTTACACTTTTGCTGGCTCTTAGGACCTATTTGGAGACCCACCCACCCTGCCCCATTTCTTAAGTATCCGGGTCAGCCCAGCGCCCTCCTGGGGCAGGTTCATATACTACCGTGACTGTTGTACCCCTCTTCATGGTGTCCTTTGAAGACAAAGCATAACATCAGTGTTAAACTGCCACCCAGTCATGGCCCGTTTCCTTCTCTCCTCCACCTGCCTCCAAAAAGCTGTTTCCTATGATCTTTTCAAAATAGAAGCTCCATCATGTCCCTTCTTGGCTGAAAATCCTTCAGTGATTTCTCAACTTGAATAACTCCTCACCCCAGCTTGCTTAGCCTCTGTCCTGGATATCATCTTATACCAGCCTTGCCCTTTTGACTAAATACACCCACCTTCTTCTTCCTTTAGAGCTTTGTGCACACACACTGGCACCTGTGTGAAGGTTCTTTCTGTGCCCTGGAGTGTCTGTCTGATGGTCTTCCTTTCACATGACCAGCTTCCCCAAACCTTCAGATCTCAGCTAACATCACCTTGCAAGGCACATTAGTACTCCCACCCAATCACTCCTGAAAATATTCTGACTATCATCCATTTCCTTCCATTAAAAATCCACTTTGTGGCCTCTCATGGATACTCTCTG